CCCCCCCTCCTCTGGCCAACGTGTCGCCTCTCCATGCTGAACAGAACCCACCGCTGAACCAGAAGGCTGGAGACTGGAGACACATCATCACATCATCATTCCCTTCAACAGTCAAGGCCCACACCGACAACGACTGGGAGAAGCTGGGCCAGTGCGTGAAGCAGCAAGAACATCAGCACGGAGGTGAGAGGGGAAATATGGCTGCTGTATTCGGCAAGACGCACGCGATCAAACAACAACGGGCACGAAACGCTAAGGTACCGTACTCATTGGCGGATCAGCCGCGCGACCTGCTCTCGGTTACTCGCACTGGCTGTAGGCAGACTGGAGATAGACCTCGGTATACCTCGACTTCTACCAGCTCTGACAGTAGGCCGAAGTCTTAAGTGGGCGGTCGAGGTAGTCGTTGGCGTATCAGGAGGTGGGCGGCTGGGACTGCCCTGGGGTCATAGCTCCCGCGCGCGGCCACTACTGTAGTATTTTTATCAGCGCACGATTCCGTGTGTGTACATCTACATCGCGGCCTCAACTTGTCGACACACTCCCCAAAGGCCTGACAACAGCAGCAGCAGCAGCAGCAGCAGCAGCAGTCTTTTGGCTTGTAGCAGTCTTCCTCGTACTGATTGAGAGTTAGTGTATGTCAGCGAGTGTTCGTCTATACCGCGCTGTCGAGCGCCATCAAGCAGCAGCAGTGCACGTCGGAGACGGACCGACCGCCGCTGACCTATTTTTATTTTTTCGTCACGCACGCCCGAAAACCTTCAATGTTGCCGCGTTTTGTGGTTGACCAGTCGATCTATCCACACAGCAGTACATGTATTGTGTTGCTCCTCCAACCCGCGCCGACGTGCGTAACTTGGGCGAATCGTTCTTGGCACTATTTTTTGTTGTTTGAAACAATACGAAAGGGCGGCTGGTGTGTGTGGTCCCAGCAGCAGCCATTTGGGTACATCGGCAAGCCAGTACTAGCCCGCGGAGCGTATTGGACAGCGGACACCTAGCACAGCAGCGGAGGAGGAGCAGCGGGGCGGCTGACAAGGCGACCGGGCGGGAGGGTCGTCATGGACCGTGGTAAGCCACAATATAGGACCCTGATCCCGTCCTCAACCGGCTCTCTCCGACTCTCTCAAGTGGAAGTTGAAGAAGCAGTTGCAAGAGCTTTGTGATCGGTGTTTGGTGTCTCCAATCATCGGGTGCATTCTGTCGGGAATGTGTGGGGGATCTGCTCCGAATGCGGCGCGGGATTTCGCGGGAGCAACGGGGGCTGTTCACACATCTCTCATCATACATGTCGAATACACCAATATACTCTAGCGGGCAAGTCTTTTGTGATGGTATGCATAGCTTGATGAATGCGATGATGCCATTTTGTCCCCGAAACCAACCGATACAAGTCTGTCTCATCCTGTGTAGAAAAAAATGGGGGGCTTGCGTACACAAAATTACATTTACTTGAACTATTGCAATTTGATAGGTCGGCCGCCGTTCCATGCACCGCAAGAGGCAAGGTACTTGTACAGAGTTAAACAACTCCTTGTGTTCAACCCGGATATCATATTGTACGCCTGTGTGACCCGCGGCGGGACTTAGATCTACCGGGCATATGTATCGACCGACCGCCAAAATAACGGCAGTGTATGCATAAGTAGATACAGCAGCAGACCTCCTTGCTTACGAGCAACATCTTTTCCCCCGATGTTTTGGTGCCGTTTCTTCGGTGGACGGAGAAGTGATCTTAGAACCACCCACCAAGCATTTGTTTTGTTAGGAAACATAATATATAAACACAGAGAAGACTACCCATTCGAAATATTAGCACAACGGTCGAACGTTGTGTGTTGGAGGGAAACCGGCTGGGTGCTTGGGCGTATATCGAGTCTAATTAAGCCCACACGCCGAAAAGCAAATTGTGTAGGGATTGCTGAGAACCCCAACCGCCGGCTACAACTAGAGGTTCTTGATTTAAGGGCTGGCGCTATCTCTGTACAAGGCGTTCACTCGGTGCTGTTCGCTTGTCGTATTGCGTGATTACAACGACCTCTGTAAACTGCTTGAACATGTTGTTGTTGTTGTTGTCTTCACATTAAAAACCTTTCACGGGCAGGTTTAGTACAGTACAGTATTTTTATTCCAGTATTTAACTGCGTACTAAAACGTCCAGTACAGTACAGTACCGAGAGCCGTGCTGCCAGTACAGTATATTCCAGTATCGAGAGCTGTACTG